AACGGGCGCCCAGGGGCGCCATGTTTTCGCCATATTTGGGTCGCTGGCCTACGCTGGTCTTTTTCTCGATCAGTTATCCTACGCATTTCCCGGCTGGATTTCCACCCTGTCTAGTCAATTGAAGAGACCAAGCGATAAGTCAAGGGCGGTAGGATTGCTCAGCAGATCATGGCCGTGGGTCGTCCATGCATATTGGTTTGCTATCCACGTCATTCTCCTCATCGGCACCATTCTGTACTTTGCCATCCTTCTCAATGTCGTGCCGAGGGCGAGAATTGGCGACAGTACCAAGTGGAGCTTCGGCCAACTCATCGCTGTTTTAGTATGGGCACCCACAATCGTTAAATACATCTACTTCAGTATCTGTAGGTCGGTTCTCTTCAATACTTATCACCACATTATCCAATACGTATCACCATGTTTACATGTGCAGAATCGACCTGGCTGGTTAACACAGACGTTAATCTTCTATAGTTGGTACCAAGGACGGGCTGGACGAGGGTACATCGAAAGAAGATGCTACTTCACGCAGCGAGCGCCCAAGTCATGAAGTTGACCGTTTACTTGAGCAGGGACTTGGCTAGGTCCTAATTGTCTTGCGATTCGTAAGGGTGAAAGGAATCCATTCGCGAGGAGTGGCCTTTAGCCATCGTGACTAAAAAAGGGCTAATAATACAAAAGCGAAGGGGATAGCTGAATATATAGAAGAAAAAAACGCGAAAATCAAGGCATGCCCCCTGGTTATAGCTAGGTCCTAGTCTTCTAGCCAAACCACAACTGTACGCCCAAGTGATTGGGGACTAACTCGACAGAAATAAGTGCAATCGAGAACAAAATGGGCAAATAGATCTTATCGCCAAAGCCTTCTCAAGCAGAAGCAAGAGCGTCTACGTTCGGTGCCACGGGGCCTCGTAATTTCCTTTCTGAAGGGGTTCGCATGTCAGTGAAAGAGCAATGATCGCTTCCGGGCTTACAGCAAGCTTGTCTGTGATCAGTAAGAGCACGCCAACCAGTATGTAAGGCACCGTGCTAAAGGCATAGTGCATTGTCAAACTCTATTACCTCAGATTATATTTTCCCCGCCGGACAGTTCTAGTGCTAAAACTTGATTCACACATGCAGTACTTAGATGCTTTATCTTACAATAACATTTTATACTTCTAGTAACTCTAGAATAAACTTATTACTATTATATATAAAAAGAGAAGTTCTATTTACTACTTTTAGGATTTACAATAGCTTAACCTTTAAGCTGAAGGCTTCGAAGTATCTAAAACCTCTATAAAGTTATAGATTAGTCTATATATACAAGGTTGAGAGACCAGATTTTTTCCCCTCATTTACTCACACCGATTCACCACAACAATGTCTGCCCTTATTATACCGAGATTTATACCTCAAAAGCAACAAGCAACCGATATCAATACCATGGCTACTACTATTCTCAACACCATGCTTGCCACCCGAAGTGACCAACCACAATCACTTTTATTATCAATGCTGCCGGTCGAGATGATCCTCGATATAGCCGATCAAGCCGCATGTGCCGCCGATGCCGTGTCCTTGGCGCTGGCTTGCAAAGATTTATTCTCAATTTTATTTAAATATAGCCTCAGGAGGCTCGACGCACATTCCAGAGAGATGCTTCTGCTGAATCTAGAGCGAGACATCAGCTGGGTAGTCTATTGCCCCGCTGAATGTAAACTACTCTCCTTCTACTTTAGGGACAACCGCTTTTTTTTTTATTCGGTGTCATATAAGATCTTCCCAGCATTCTATACCGGCGGGGCTATACTCTTACTCAGAATGCGCCTAAGCACGAAACTATACATAAGATTTCTGCAAACCCGTCTTGTCAGAAACCGTCGTCTATTCGGTCCTACGCATGGAATCCCTCTTTCATGTTTGTCATTTATGGCAATCCAGTTCTCAAGTCGTCTGTTTATGCAGAGCCAACGCAGGACGTTCATTGGAACTTCACGCAGAGCGAAATGGATAGGCGAAAACCTGTTCCTATCTTCCACATGGATCGTTCGTGTTAAGGGATTGGAGCTGGAAAGACAGCTTATTTCGACCGAATCATTGCGCGACTTCCTCAGGTACATGGGGCTAAGCTCTGCTTGCCATCACTGCAAAGTCGATGGAAAAGGAAATTCTTATTTCGGTGTCCTTCATCCCAGTTTCGATGAGGCTGGGGAAAGACTCTCTAAGAACTTGGCATACGAAGGCATGGGGGCTTGCTGTGTTTGCGAAACTGACTGGGATGTGTCGATCTCGTGGTCAAAACGCAGTCTGGTATTCAAGCTTATAATGTACAACGATCTAGGTTGTTGCTCCATGCCACCGGATCCAAAATGGCTGAGGCTGGTGAGGTGGGATAGGTACGAGGGTATAAGGAGCTCGCCACGGGAAACATGCCAGGGCTATGTGAGGCGTACGTGGGTGAATAGTGGATGCCAAATTCTCACGGCTTCGCCTCTCTGTAACAAAGCCCTTGACTAGAGTAACTCTAGGATAGATATGAACTGCAACGTATTCTGAGGCTGAGGATGGAGTTAGGTCTAGAACTATTCGGGAATCGGGAGCAGGGGGCGCGGTAACACATTTCCTTCGACCTATTATCCTTGAAGTTAGTAAGAAGTCGGCAATAGGTATTAACTAGTTCTCATTTATTAGTAATATGAAGGTGATTAGGACTTCGGGAGAGAGCCGAGTGATAAAATGATGACACTGGAAGCACCTACAAATCAGATATGCGCTCTATTCAGTGGCCGATATTGGCATCAGAATCTAAGTGAACTAAGTGTTAAAGCTGTGCTCCTTACAAACCGGGAATATACCACACTTCCTGAACCGGGGCGGATTGCCTGCCTGATCTATACATGTAATCTGGAATGCAGACGAGAGCACTCGTAGTGTCGCGCTTTCGTTGTGGTAGACGGCCAATAATCGCAGTGCAGCGCAAGCTAGGGCAGGGGAACGAGAAAAGAGCCGGTGCTATGGCCGCTGTGGATTTCTGAGTCGTATCGATCATCATGTTAGGTTTTTAGGCTACTGCGGCCGAAACAAAACGAGCGCTGCAACACCATCAGCTCCCATTTCAATGACTTGTGCGATTCAAAATTCTGATAGCACTTATTCTTGTATTGGAAAGCGCGTTCCGTACATCCGTCATCATCAGCAATTGGTACCTGAACGCGGTGTCTTTCTTTGCAGTTCCAGTTGCCTTGTTGGACATGAGAAATCCTATTACCTGGGCAAGGTTCCTCCTTCGGGGTGTCACATATCTCGTCGAAGTTGCCCTTATAGACAAGGCACAACGAGCCAGGATGCCTATATGGCTTTCTCATCTTCTTTTCCCCGCTGCTCTTCTCTTCCCTTTTATCTTCAAGTCCAAGTCTCTACAATCCTCTTCTTTTCCCTTTTATCTTTGTTACAGTAAAACAACGCGCCATTACTGTGCTGTACGGTAACGGCCCTTATATCCGCAACAATCTTCGAGTCATCTTCGAGTCTAAGTCTCTACAAATCTGAATTTCTGACTAACTGCACTCTTCAATCCTGTCAAAATGGTTTCAGACGCTTACACTATTGCGTGGGCCACCCGCTATCTTTGTCGCGAGCTGGTTACTTTTCCATACTCGGCTGATTTTCTGGTATGTATTATAGCCAAGGTCTTCGCCATGGATGATCCAGATCCTCATTATCGCTAGTATCTTTCTCGTGCCACTACCTACTGGAGATTTTGCCATGTCCAGAAGGGAGGGCAAGACACCGAAGCTGGCACCTAGCGATGGGATTGCATCTTGAGGTGATGCTGGAGCTTACCACCTTCGGGTGAACTAAGACAATTCCCAAACCCTGATACCTCAGTCTGCTCAAGGTCAGTGTGTGATCCAGCTCTGGAAGACTTCTGCTGACTACTAATTACAACGTTGCACCGACCCAGCCTTACCCTAGACCTTGGTGCTAAACCGTCACCGCTCGTTCCCAGGCGTCAATATCAACGATCTCCCCTAAGCGGTAACCACAAGTCGTCTTAAGTATAGCGTGCATCATTTGGTTTGTTGCTTGTTGAGGGTCGAAAAGGCTGGGACAGAAGGTCTTATAGAGTTAGCATGAGAGGAGAGCAAAGCCGAACATTAGGGGACTGTCAGGAGAGAATAGGCACAGAGTGAATAGACAGGCAAGTTGCAGTTGGGTAGCGGGTGTAAGGGCTTAATAGACCATAGGGGAGAGAGAGAGTGATCATAGTATAGATAAAATAGCTAAAAAGAGATCATAGAAACCGAACAAAATATTCCCAGGTACTTAGAGCGACCAGTAACGACCCCTATGTTCAGTATCTTCTGGCGCACAGGATTCATGCTACACCGACCGCTAGCCTAATGAGGACATCGAAGAACCTAAGTATACCAAGGCCGCGGATGGAGCCGCCGGCGAGGGGGATTAAAAATAGGCCAATCTAGAGTGGTCGTTTCCTAGGGGTGATGATGTCGCAAACGAGGACCTGGTTAAAGACGTTGAAGCCGCCGGCGCTTACGCCTTGGACGGCGCACCCAGCGATGAGGACGGGTATGGAGCGGGCCGTCGCGAACGTAGCGGAGCTGACGGCGAAGAGCAGAGAGGCCTTATCGAGCACGGCCTTGCACCTATGCACGTCCAACGCGCCGACGTAGAGGGGCTGTGCAACGACGACGATCATCGATGAGTAGGTTTTGCTTCTATCATTACTGTCTTCATGAGCGATAATAGACTAGACATTACTTTGTGCTGCATATTCATGCAATCAGATCATCGCTCCGCCGCGTTGAATTAATCAGTGGAATGAGGGGAGCATTCAAGTATTCTTCTCACTACATGTAGATATTGCAGTCCCCCTAAAAAGGGTGATGGATCATTCCGGATCATTTGAGGTGTTCTAAAGGGGCAATATGAAAAGAAAGAAATTATTAATATGCATGTAGGTGGGCAGACAATTTGCCAAAAAGAGAAACTGTTGGACCGGTAGGGATTTGAACCCTAGGCCTCTCGCATTTTCATGTGCATGCAAAGCGAGCGCTCTACCCCTGAGCTACAGGCCCAATGAGAACGGAGTTTGGAGCCAGATTGAATACCTGTATACCTGCTGCCGGTTCTATTGTCATGCCAAATTGGGTACATCTTTTAAATCCGGGTCTAAACCAGATCGTCCAACTAAGAAGTACTATTACAGTACGAAGTGCCGTTGCTCTTATTTGTGCTCTCCAACAAGTCATTAAGCTTTTCGACGTACATGTACCTAGATAATGCCAGAGACAGCCAATCAAGTTTCACGAGTTGGTAATAAGTAACTATTGAATGGAGATTCATAGATAGTAGGTATTGGTACTAATCCAACCGACCTACTCCGTCTAGCAACTAACGTAGGTACCCCAAAGCTTGAATACCTGGAGGACCTAGGTATCTCGATAGTATCTAGATGGCGCCTATCGAGTCTACACGGTATCAAGATAGCAGTCCCCAACAAGAATCTAAACCTAGTAAGTACCTGGTATGTATCTTACCTACACTACATCGCCAGATCCCATCATCAGCTTTACCACTCACCTGGCGTGGTCTATCGGTAGGACTTCACATTGCTTCGTAATTGTTTTTGCTTTTAGAGGCCCTCGCTCCTTTTACGTGATATCTACAGGATAGCTGGAGGAGTAAGTCCTGGCTCTAAATTAGCTAATACATCCTCAACAACAACAACACCTTCTCACACCATCTCGTATCACGTCGCCACTTACTTCCGAGAATGATGGCGCCCCACAGTCTGCAAGATGAAGGTCCCACCGACCTGGAGCAGAAGCTGAGTGGTGATGATGAGATCCGGCCGCCATCCCCGCCCCCGATGTCCGCGGCACCTCCGCGGCTGCTCGTCATCGGTGCAGGGTCTCGCGGCCGCACCTATGCTCGATGCTCTCTACAATCGAGCAACGGCGTGGTCGTTGCAGTCGCTGAACCGGACGACTACAAACGCCAGGATTTCGGGAGTAAGTTCATATGGGGCAAGACAACGCCGCCCCCGGATGGGTCCAGCTTTAGGGACTGGAGGGAATACGTTGCGTGGGAAGCGGGTCGCCGGGAACGGCAGAAGTCGGGCGAGGCTGTTCCGGAAGGCATCGACGCCGCCTTTATCTGCGTACGAGACGAGATGCATCATGATGTGATCATGGCCCTTGCACCACTTGGCCTTCACATTATGTGCGAGAAGCCGCTTGCCACCACACTCGAGGACTGCACTAACATATATCGCACATTGGCACCGCTCCAGGCCACCAAAGTGTTCTCTATTGGACATGTGTTGCGCTATTCGCCACACAACATGATGCTCCGGAAGTTACTACTCGAGGACAGCGTCATTGGCGACATACTCAGCGTGCATCATACCGAGCCGGTAGGCTTCTGGCATTTTGCGCATAGCTATGTGCGTGGCAATTGGCGAAAGGAGTCCGTCACGGCCCCATCACTTCTCACCAAAAGCTGTCATGACATTGACATCCTCTTATGGTTGGCGTGTTCCCCCGCACCCGGATCGGATGCCCCCGAACATCTACCGACATCTGTCACGTCCACCGGCGCCCTGCAATTCTTCCGAAAGGCTAGAAAACCCAAAGCAGCGGGTGATGCGACTAATTGCCTTAGCTGTCCCGTTGAAAACGAATGCTTGTACTCCAGCAAGCGAATTTACGTGGGCCCAAGACACATGGGGGTTGAGACTGGTAACACTAGATGGCCTATCAGCATCGTGCTTCCAGACATAGAGAGTTTCGGCAGTGACATTGACAAGGCCAAGGGAGCAGTTCTCTCCCAGCTCGCTGAGGACTATGATGGCTCGACGCCGCAGGAGATTGTCGATAGTAAGAACTGGTTTGGCCGCTGTGTGTTCGAATCGGACAACGACGTATGCGATGAGCAGGTCGTGGTGATGACTTGGGACGACGACCCGCTGCCACATTCCAGTGCGTCCGCGAAGGACGCCCTGGGTGCGCGAGGTGCTAAGCAGGTAACATTTCACATGATTGCGCAGACCAAGAAGCAATGTCAAAGATACACGTACGTCTACGGCACCGAGGGCGAGATCTACGCGGATTCCAAAACCATAACGATTGAGGATTTCCGAACGGGCGAGACCAAGACATATAAGCCCAAATTAGAAAGTCTTGGGCATGGCGGCGGTGATCACGGGCTTACGAGGCAGTTCGTCCTTGCCGTGGACAGGGTCAAGAACGGCGGATGGAAGGCGGAAAACGCCCAGCGCGAGTTCATCGGATGCAGTCTGGAGGACATCATTCGTAGTCACGCGATGGTGTTCGCTGCCGAGGAGGCTCGGAGAGATAAGAAAACTGTGGATTGGAAGACTTGGTGGACCAAGAACGTTGCCGTAGTGTAAGCCCTCTCTCGGATTTATGAAGCATGTGCTCGCCGCCATATCACTAGATCGCGGTGGCGAAGCTGTCACGATACGATATACAGTAGGTAGTTGCGCCGAAACAAGAAGCTACCCCGGAATCGAGTCTCTAAAGCTGTGACTCCGTGCTGAGGGAGTGCATTAGGGAATGCTAGTCCCGAAGCGCCGAGCGCTTAAAGACTAACCGAAGAGGACCCATTCTCTGCATCTTCACATTATTGCTTCTTTGGAGCCCGCGGTATGGCCGTTAGCCGAGCCTCGAATCGACCTCAACGGCGTCGCCAGCCCGTTTCCCTTCTCGTATTCGTCTACTTACCTGCTTTTGTAACTCGACGTATGTCATTGTTATTTTCTGATCCTTCGCGCATCGGCAATTCTGCTCACATCAGTGTGTTTATGTCCTAGGTTGTAATTGCAGGATAACATGAGCCGAGGCATCATGCATACTAGTTCTCAACTTGATATCAATAAGGTTAAATCCTTCGCACCCCTCCTGCTCAATCGTGGGGATCGTGGGGCTCGACGAAAAAGAGCTGCTAGAAATAGAAGCCCCCGCCCCGCAAGCGTCTAAAATAAAGGGCCGGCCCAATTCGTACGTAGGCATTTGGTCTGTAATTCGTCTTGAGGCCGGATACACGTTAGTCTATTGTATACGAAAACCATCCGACGTCACCCCGAAGCTGAGCTTTGGCCCGATTGATCCAAAAGAACCACCGGGCTAGTTAGCCTACTACTTCCGGACGTCATGGCATTGGCTCGCGGGGTGTCCGAAAGGGAGCTTGCGAGGGCTGGCGACGGCCTTCATCAGTGCGCTTTAACTGTTCAAGTGTGGTTACCCACAACGAGCTTCAACGTTACTACAGTACGAAGGTGAAGAATCACATGTTACATACGTGGGTATGATGGCATGTAGGATTTGGCAGTGTCCTTAGCTTGAAACAGATGAGAGATGGTCGATGATGATCTACCTTCCTTCTTTGGAAGCTCAGAGCTACCGAATACCCCGTAAATAGACAAACATGGTGGATCGCCATCGACCTTGTAGGTATAAAAGACCACCGCCGGCCATATCCGTCGCAGTAGAGAGAGGATTGTCATTCCACGCATTCCGATCTGCGCAAGAGAGAAAATGAAGTCGCTGTTATCCATCTCCGCCTTCCTGTCCCTGGCATGGGCCCAGGACCTCTGCGGCCAGTATAGCTACTACGCCGCCAACGGGTACTACCTCAACAACAATGCTTGGGGACAGTCCGCCGGGTCGGGAAGTCAATGCACGCATGTGGACATACTCCTGAACCCGGGCGTCCAATGGCACACCGACTGGAACTGGTCCGGCGGCAACAACAACGTCAAGAGTTACCCTTACTCCGGGCGCGAGCTGCCAACCAAGAAGATCATTAGCAAGATCGGCAGCATACCAACGAAAGCTGAGTGGCAGTACACCGGAGACAATCTCCGCGCCGACATTGCCTACGACCTGTTCACGGCCGCAGACCCGAACCACAGCACCAGCAGCGGAGACTACGAGCTCATGATCTGGTGAGGAACGTCCCTTTCACCTATCTCCTGCCTCTTGGCTCAGACCACGCATCCACGGATACCTAGGTCAATTCGCGGGGAGCCCAGAACGCTAACCGAAGATCAACAGGCTCGGAAGAAGGGGCGGCGTCCAGCCCATCGGAAGCTCCACGGGGTCCGTCAGCGTCGCAGGACGGACCTGGGACCTGTGGGTCGGGTATAACGGCCCGATGAAGGTATTCAGCTTCGTGGCGCCGAGCGACATCGCCACCTTCGAGTCGGATATCAAGCCCTTCTTCACCCACATCACCAACACCCAAGGGTTCCCGGCCTCGCAGCAGAACCTCATCTGTAAGTGCACTAGTGCCCCCTGCCCATTCTCTTCCGCCGCCAACTTGGTTTCTAACACCCCGGTGTGCAATAGCCTTCCAGTTCGGCACGGAACCTTTCACTGGAAATAATGCGCGGTTCAATTGCTGGTACTTCTACGGCGAGGTTAACTAGGCGAGGGGGCTGGGTCCTGCATGTATATATTCAACACTGGGTGTGTATGAGTCAGTGGTTATTAAGCGAGTCATATAGCCTCTGGCGAAGAGGAAATTCGAAGACACGCGATAACTCCCTTTGCGCCCCACGTATGTGTGTATGTGTGACAATTTGGTATTGCTAGAACTTCGGAAACGCCGCGGGACGACTCCAGCTGCTAGCTACCTTGATAACATTAGGGCTAAGCCAATTGATCGCTTTTCTAGACCCTGCTTCTGCAGTTGATACCTTTTGTAGATGTCTCAGAAAACGTCGTTTGGTAACGTGACGTTGTCTGTAGACGCTGTCTATAGACGCTATCTATAGACGCTATCCATAGATGTGATCTCCCTCTACCTGAAAGCTCGTATTAGGGAGGCCATCTATATAGCTCTATGCTGAGGAGCTATCACGCTGATCGGCAGTCCTCTGGATAAAGAAAGCATGAAACTTATGTGTCACAGCAAAACGGCGCGCCGTTACTATATTCTATAGGAACATCCATTATACCGTGATGACTTCCAATCATGAGCGCTTGATTTACCCGCCGGAATATGGAAGTTCAGGCCCAGGTCCCATATGCCGAATACCACCACATTGAGA